TGGTGGACCCCGAACTTCTGGGTGAAGACATAGGGGCTGGGACAGGCAAGGACACACCTCGGCAGACACATCCTCCATTGCCACTCCTGGCACTGCCCCTGCCCTGTGCCCTCCTGGCAGCCCCAGGCAGCATATCCCCGATGGGCACTTGGCCCCAGGACCCTGCAGCTCCTGGTCACTGAGGGTTCCAGGTCCCTGTGGGTGCTCCCTTGGCACCAGCACCAGCTGGAGGGAGACCCTGCAACCCCCATCCTGCAGGGACAGGACTCCAGGTGGCCCTGCCAGCACCAGGGACACTTGGGGACTGGGAGATACCCAGGAGAAGGTGGTGACCCAGGCTGGCAGCACCTGGAGTGCCATGGCGTGGAAGGGGCTAGGGTGCAGGCAGTGAAGAGGAGGTGAATGGTGCTGAGGCATGGTGAGGGAGGAGAACCCAGCTGCTCAAGGGACTGCTCCAGCCTTCCCAGGGTGCTCCAGCCTTCCCAGTTTTCTCCAGTGGGGCAATGGGCCAGTGCTGAGCAGTGGGATGCTGCGGGAGGAGTTCAAGTTCACCTGGAGTGTGGCCTTTCTATCCTTGGGGTGTAAACACTTCCTACCCAACATCTTCTCTAGAGCTGACCTCTGGGGCAGAAAGGTGCTGCCATCCCAGCTCCTCCCACTCTGTGGGGAAGGAAGGAAGAAAGGCACACAGACTGGCCAGGAAGGCTTTGCTTCCAGCTTGGCCAGGACAGGAGCAAAGACCTCCAGCAGTTTGGGTTGGCTTCAGAAAAGTCATAAAGGGAAGATGCCTTCTTGCCCCTAGGGAAGAGCGAGTTGGTTTGGATCTGCGTAGGGTTGGAGGGCACTGTTGGGTGGGCTGGAATGGTGGGGTGAAGAGCAGAGAGATACCAGCGAGGAAGGGCAAGAGCAAGGACACAGTGGCCTTTAGGAGCCTTTAGGAGCCCATCTGGGCTTGTGGGCTCCTCATAGGGCACGGCACCTTTGCTAAGCCACTTCCTCCCATATGCCTCCGTCGCCTCTTCAGCCCGGCCACTGTCACCCCCACAGTGACCCCACCCTTGCTCAGGAGGAGGTGCCAGGGAAGGGTAGAGGTCCTAGTGGTGCTCCTCCTCGTGGGAGGGAGGATGTCCTGTGCTGAGGTGGCCTCCTTGGGGTGATGTGGGGGTGGAAGAGGGCAAAGGGAGTCCCCATGTTGTCCCACCAGTGCCACAGTGAAATGGGGTCCTCACCACCCATCCTGACTGCCCCCCAAAACCTCATCTGTGAGCCTGGATAGCTCAGCTGGGAGAGCATCAGACTTTTAATCTGAGGGTCCAGGGTTCAAGCCCCTGTTCAGGCGAGGGCTTTATCCTTTAGGAGCACATCAGGACACACTTTTTCACTGTGAGGGTGACTGAGACTGGCAGAGGTTGCCCAGGGTGCTTGTGGTATCCCCATCGGTGGAGATACTCAAAAGCCATCCAGACACAGACTTGGGCAACCAGCTCTGGCTGGCTCTGCTTGAGCAGGGGCTTGGACTGGCCCAACTCCAGAAGTCCCTTCCAATCTCAACCACCCTGTGATTCTGTTGCTTATCATCCCAAACCCACTCCAACCAAAGCAGTGTCATTTTGAGGAAAGAAGGTTGAGCACAGAAGCTGCAGCGACCCAAAGGGCCACCACACTGCTCCAGCCAAGCCCTAAATTGTGCTCTCTGTGTGTAGATACGCTTCAGGTTACCTTTGCAAATGGAAACTTTAACAGAAAATGGAGTAATTTTGGATGAAAACCATTCCTTTTGGAATTTCTAACATTTGTCAATCCAAACATACATCAGTTACTCAGATAAGCTTAGTGGCCTTATACCCCAGACTGACTTTTGGGGGTGGGGAAAAAAAAACAAAACCAACAAAACAAAGAAACAAACAAAAAATATCAACTGAACAAACAAAACACCCACAAAGAAAACAATAACAAAAAAAACCCAAACAAACAAACAAAAAAACCCACCAACAAACACACCAAAAACAAACAAAAAGAGGGATGGAGAAATTATGTATTTCATTGTTTCTGCCTCTCAGCTGTGTAAAAGTGGGACAGGTAATGCTGCTGCTAAAGGACAGCTTCTCCAGATGTTTGCTTTCTCTTGCTCTTCTATTAGCTTTAGAAGGGAAAATGCTTTTTTTGAGCTTTCTCCAAGTAAAGAAATGTGTGGTTTGGGTCAAAGAGAAAATGGAGATCAGAGCAGCGTGAAGCTGGGCAAGTAGTGCCCTATAAACTGCAAATCCTAAAGGTAAATGCACAATGAATTCTTGCTCTCCCTTTTTTTGCTATGGGTAAGTTATGAATGAAAGATCATTTTTTTTGTTCCCCAAAAAAAGGTGCTACTTTCAACTACCCCCCCGGGGGTGAATAAATTGAGTCCTGCTGCTTGGGTGGTGTCTTCTCCACCAGCTTAGCCTCGAGTGTGAACTGTGTGACACCTCACGCAGCTCGTTGACATTTCTTTCTCGAAAGCTGCCGTCTAGTCTAAGTTCTGAACAGCTGTCAGGAGAGGGCGCCAAGACAAAGCAAACAGGGTGTCTTCGTGGTCTGAAAGGATACTGAGGGGTGAAGTCCACAGTTTAAAACGCTTCCTCAAGCTGAAGCATCTCCTGGTGCACCCAAGACATCTCCACCTGCCGCTTGGTGCTCGGACGACCTCTAGTTCCCAGACCGACGGTGTGTCAAGATTGTCCTTCAGCTCTGGATGGGTTTTGCCTCTGCTGTGAAAGAATCCCTGGAAGTGCTGCAGCCAAAACCCCATTCCCCAGGATCTGGGAGTGCTGGCAGTGGGGTTTTAATCATATTGATCTTCCTTCTTCTTCAGGTGGTCACTATGAAGGGCAGGAATGTGGAGCTGAGATCTGGAGCAGCAAACTGCTGCTTCCCACTCACTCTGCAGAGTGGCCACAGTGTCTTCTGGTCCTCTTTTTTGAAAAGCAGGGTGGAAAGCTGAGGGAAAAGTGGGAAGCTGTGCAATTTCTTCGAAGTTCTCAAGCTTTGCCTGGAAAATGGAGAGTCTGGAGTGTTTTCCCCAAAGTGTCACTGAAGAACCAGCAGAAAGATCATCGTTAAGGTGCGTGCTTGGTCACTCTGAGGGGCAGCGAGGGAGCTGAGCTTGTGTCCCCCTCGTAGGGCATGGCATCTTTGCTAACCCCCCTCCTCACGGATGCCTCCCTTGCATCTTCAACCCGGTGTTTTTCCGTGCTCCAAGGAGCACAGCAAAAGTGTTGCTGTGACTCGGATTCGAACCGAGGTTGCTGCGGCCACAACGCAGAGTACTGACCACTATACGATCACAGCAGAGGAGCTCCTGCCACCCGCCGGGGCTGTGGGGAGGGGACCTCCCGCATCGTCCCCTCCCCGGGCACGGGGCACCCAGCACGGCCCGGCAAACAACACAGTGTGATGGTGGCTACGGAGGGACGCGGATGCTGCTGCCTCGAATGGGAACCTAAACTGGGCAAAATGCCGGCAATGCTGAGGTGGCACCTGAGGACCGAGGTGGCTGCTGCTCTTCAGGGAGTATCGTGCCACCAGGGCATCATGCTGTAATACAGTGAATTTAGACATATAACAGTTTCAGCTAAGCCTAAGTTAAGAGGAGTTTAATTAAGGAATTTTTTGTCATTGTCAGGGTGTGACACAATGAGTTTCACAGAATTCTAGAATCACTAAGGTTGGAAAAGACCTCCAAGATCATCAAGTCCAACCATCAACACAACACTACCATGTCCACTAAACCAGGTTCCCAAGTGCCACGTCCACATATTTTTTGAAGCCCTCCAGGGATGGGGACTGCAGCACCTCCCTGGGCAGCCTGGGCCAATGCCTCACCTCTCTGCCGGGAAAGAAAGTCTTCCCCATATCTAGTCGAAGCCTCCCCTGGTGCAACTTCAGCCCATTGCCTCTCATCCTATCCCTGGTTACCTGGGAGAAGAGACCAACCCCCACCTCACTGCAGCCTCCTTTCAAGGAGTTGTAGAGTGCAGTAAGGTCTCACCCCAGCAAGTTTATGGCCATTCAGTTGAAAATACAACAAATGTCTTGAGGAGCTTGGTGGGGAGCTGAGTGATGTTGTGGGAACGTGCTGGGAGGTCCAGGTAACACAGGATGTCCCCAGGGCCCCTCATCCAATATCCCCTGGGCCCCACTGCCACCTCCCTGCCTGGCCATGGTCCCTGCAAAGAAATTCTTTCTTGGCAGCATCATTCAGGTGCAGGGAAGACCAGGGCAGGCAGCATGGTTGGACTGAGCCTCCTACTGGGCTCAGCCTTGTGGGGCTCCTTGGTTTGGGGTTTCCATCCTCCAAGCTTGTGTCTCCAGGGTCTGTGCCAACACTGAGCCTTTCAGCCCTAGGTTTTCATCCAAAGAACACCCCTCCAACTGCTTCTGTGACACTTGTAGTCCTCCCACATCCCATTTTTGCCCTCTAGCAGCCCAGTTGATGGGATATGTTGGTCAGCACTGCCTACCCTTTCCTCCCCTAGGCTTTTTGCTCCTGCCCGGTTTGGAGAGGAAATCTCATTTGGTGAATTTTCTGTCCTTTCAGCCACTTTATGACCGAGTCTGTGCCACAGAGGCATAAGCAGGTGGTACAAGGTGGCCCGGGG